CTATTTCCCAATACATTATACATTATACATTTTGGTCCTTATTTACCCTTATTTTCTCACACCAAAAGAAACAATACAATATTTAACTATATGTGTCTGATTTATTTCACTTAAGAGTAAGATCTCAGGGCTAGGGATTTAGCTCAGTGGTTTCACCGCCTGCTGCGCAAGCACAAGGACCCAAGTTCAATCACTGGTACCAAAAAAAAAAAGAGTAAGATCTCAAAGTGTGTCCATTTATGGCAAAGTAGTACTCTGTTGTATTTTTAAAAACCACATCTTCTTTATACATTCATTCGTTGATGGGCATTTGAGCTGTTTCTAAGACTCAGCTATTACAAACTGGGCTGCTATAAACATGGGTGTGCATACATTACTGAGGTATGATGCTTTTAATTCTTTTGGGAAGATCCCAAGAAGGGGAATCGCTGGGTCAAATGAAACCTCTAGTTTTAGTTTTATGAGAAATCTCTGCACTGATTTCCACAATGGTTGCACAAGTCTACTCCCACCAGCAGTGGAGAAGAGTTCCTTTTCCCCACGCCCTGTTAGCAATTGTAATTGCTTAATTTCTTAATAATAACCATTCTTTTTGGAGTTAGATGGAGTCACAGCATTCTTTTAATTTGAATCTCTCAAATGACTAGTGATACTGAGCATTTTTGCTTATATTTTTTTGCCATTTCTACTTCTTCATCTGAGAAGTGTCTGTTCATTTTAGATGCCCATTTATGGATTAGGTCTTTAAGTTTGGGGGGTCTGATTATTTTGAGTTCTTCATGTATTCTAAATATTAGTCCTTTGTCTGAGGAACAGCTGGTAAAAATTTTTCCCACTCTGTGGGTTGTGTCTTCACTTGGGTGGTAGTTTCTTTTGGTGTGCAAAAACTTTTTAATTAGATGAGATCTCAGTTGTAGTCTTTAATATTTCCTGTGCGATTGGGATTTTATTCATAAAGTCTTTGCCTATACCTACATCTTCATTAGTTCTACATATTCTATCTTCCAGCAGTGTAGTGTTTCTATTTAATATTTAGATATTTGATCCATTTCTATTTTAGTTTAGTGCATGGTGAGAGATATGCATCAGCATGTGGAAAGTCAGTTTTTCCAGCACCATTTATTAAAGAGGCTATCTTTCTTCCAGTGAGGTGTTTGGCTCCTTTGTCAAGATAAGGTGGCTGAGTGTGTTTGGAGTTGTTTCTGTATCTTCTAATCTATTCCATTGATCCTCAAGTCTGGTTGTTTTGTTTTGTTTTTGTCAGTACCATGCTGTTTTTATCACGGTAGCTTTGTAGTATAATTTCAAGTCAGGGATTGTAATGCTCTCTGCCTTTGTTGCCCAGAATTGCTTTTGCTCTTCTAGGTCTCTTCTGGTTCCAACTGAATTTTAGGATTCTTTTCTCTAATTCTGTGAGGTATGATTATTGGTATTTTGATCACAATTACATTAAATCTGTATAACAGTTTTGGAAGTATGGCCATTTTCAGTATATGGGTTCTTCTTACCCAAGAACATAGGATATCCTTTCATTTTCTGATATACTCTTCAATCTTCTTCAGAGTACTGTAGTTTTCAGTGTAAAGGTATTTTACTTCCTTCATTAGATGGATTCCTAAGTATTTTTTTTTTTGGATCCTACTGTGAAAGGTGTGGTTTCCCTAATTTCTCTTTGTGAGTTTGTTATTTGTGTATAGGAATGCTATTGACTTTTGAGTGTTGGCTTTGTATCCAACTATGCTACTGAATTTGCTTATTAAATCTAGAAGTCTTTTGGTGGAGTTTTTTTGGGTCTTCTGTGTAGATTATCATGTCATCTGCAAATAATGATAATTTAAATCCTTTCTTTCCTATTCTTATTCCTTTTATTTCTTTCTTTTGTCTAATTTCTCTGACTTATATTTCCAGAACTATGTTGTATAGGAGTGGTAATAGTGGATATCCTTGTCTTGTTCCTGATTTTAGAATGAAAACTTTCAGGTTTTGACCATTTAGTGTGATGTTGGCTGTTGGTTTGTCATAGATGGCTTTTATCAGATTGAGGTAAAGACCATCTATTCCATTTTTCTATAGTGTTTTTATCATAACTGGATGTTGGACTTTATCAAATGTTTTTTCTGCATTTAATGAGATGATCATGTGGCTTTTGTCTTTGGTTCTGTTACTATGGTATATTACATTTATTAATTTGAGTATGGTGAATGATCCCCTGCATCCTTAGGATGAATCCTACATGATCATACTATCTTCATAGTATAATCCTCTTAATGATTTGCTGCATTCTATTTGCCAGTACCTTATTAAGGATTTTTGCATCTATGTTCAGTAGGGAGATTGGCCTATAGTTCTCATTTTGGGTTGAATCTTTCTCTGGTTTCAGTATTAGGGCAATGCTTGCTTCCAGAAATGAGTTTGGGAGTTTTGCTTCCCTTTCAATTTCATTACAGAGTTTGAGGAGTGATAGCATTAGATTTTCTCTAAATTTCTTATAGAATTCAGCAGTGAATCCTTCAGGACCTGGGCTTTTCTTTGTTGGTAGGTTTTAAATTACATCTTCAATTTCATTGACTGATATTGGATTATTTAGAATTTTTATATCTTCTTGATTCAGTTTTGGTAATTCATATGTATCTAGGAATCTGTCCATTTCTTCTGTTTTTCATCTTATTAGAATATAGGTTGTCAAAGTAGGTATTGATGATCTTCTGGATTTCTGCAAAATCTATTGTGATTTCACCCTTTTCATTCCTAATTGCATGGATTTGAGTCTTTTCTTTCTTTTTCTGATAAGGTTAGCTAAGGGTTTGTCAACTTTATTTAATCCTTCAAAGAACCAACTCTTTGATTCATTGATTCTTTGTACTGTTTTCATAGTTTCAATTGCATTAATTTCTACTCTTATCCTTATAATTTCCTTCTTCATATGAGCTTTTGTCTTGACCTGCTCTTCTTTTTCTAGAAGGTTGAGGTTCAACATTAGGTTGTTTATTTGAGTTTGCTCTGTTTTTCTGATGTGGGAATTAACCACTATAAATTTCCCTCATAGTACTGCTTTCATTATGTCCCATAAGTTCCAGTATGTTGTGTTGGGATTATCATTTAATTGTAGAAAATGTCAAATTTCTTCCTTAATTTTATCTGTGACCCATTGATTGCTCAGGAGGTGTTATTTAACTTCCATGTGTTTATGCAGTTTTTGTGGTTTCTTTTGCCATTGATTTCCAGTTTCATTGCACTTCTGATAATATGCATGGGATAATTTCAATTCCTTTGCATTTACTTAAGTATGTTCTGTGAGCTGGTATGTGGCTATCCTGTGTGCAGCTGAGAAGAATGTGTATTCTGATATTGTGGGGTGGAGTGCTCTGAGGACATCTACTAAGTCCCTTTGTTCAAAGTTTGGTTCAGTTATGATATTTCTTTGTTGATTTTTTTATCTAGTTGATCTATTTATTTGTGGCAGTGTGGGGACATTAAAATTGTACTAGTGCTTATCTGATTTTTTCATGTCTGTTACTATTTGTTTTATATAGTTAGATGTGCTGGTATTTGGTGCATATATATTTATGATTGTTATCTCTTCCTTTTGGATTGTTCCCTTAACAAGTATGTAATGACCTTCTTTTTCTCTCTTGATCAGTCTTGGCCTGAAGTCCACTTTGTCTGCAAATATATTAGCAACTCCTGCTTTTTGGGGGGCCCTGTCACATGAAATATTATTTTCCATTGTTCAACTTTCAGTCCATGAATTTCTTTTTGAGTAAAAAAGATTTGGTAGTCAAGATTTCTTGATCCATTCTGCCAATCTGAATCTTTTGATTGGTGAATTGAGACCATTTACATTGATAGTCATAACTGATATGTATTGACTTATCCTTCTTATATAATTTTCCTGTTATTGGTTCCCCTACTTTCTCCTCTGTTTACTTGCTTGCCTTGCCTGGTAAATCTGTTCTATTGGGGTTCATGGAATTGTAGTCTTCATTATCTCTTTTAGAATATCCTTCAGAACATTTTGAAATGCTGATTTGGTGCTCATGGATTTCTTCAGATGTTCTTTGTCATGGAAGTATCTTATTTCTCCATTAATTGTGAAAGACAGTTTTACAAGGTACATCAATCTGAGTTAGAAGTTGTTTTCTTTTAGAGCTTGAAATACTTCACGCTTTTCTTGACTTAAGGGTTTGTGTTGAGAAGTCTGCTGTGATTTATTGCCTTTCTTTCTAATGGTTTGACTGCATTATGATGTATACCTTACCTTTTTACTGGTTTGACATCATTATGGTGTATTCTGTACCTATATCTCAAGGCCATGAGAAAATAGAATAATTTATCCTCAAATACAACAACCAGTGTTCTAATGAAAATAATTTTTCCCAAAGATAATACCATTAGATTAACTAGACTTAATGTTCCCGACATGTGGAATAAGTGTAGGACATGAGATGCTAAAAGCTGTCCCCAAATGCCCAGATAGGTCAGCAACTTCAACATAAGCCAGTTCTCATTAGAATTTCTTGAGGAAATAGAGAACTTGAAAAACACTTTCTAAATTGTTGCAAAATATTTTGAGAACAATTATACAGAGAAAGAAAATATCTTGAATATCCTATTGAAAATTATTTCCATTTGCCACTCCAAAAATAATGAAACAATATTATCTATAAATATTTTATATGCTTTTCTATAAATATTTGTCAGTAACATCAGCTGGGGAAAAAAATCAGAATACAAAAACTTAGTTAAGTTTAAGGTTTAGTAGGTCATGTTCTACCAACTGGTTAAATTATCCATCTTAGCAATGTATTACCCTCAAAAAAGCAAAAGTACACTGTAAATATTACAATATTTGTTCTATGGAATGAAGTTAATATTATAAATGTTTATATTCATGAGTTTAGATAAAAATTATTACAGTCAATGATGACAATATGGGGATATTGAAATTTTCAGTCACAAATTGAATTTGCAAAGTGAATAGATCCTGGCTGTTGACCAGATCCCCCTGTTCTTCATGCCTTCCTGAAATATGAAAGCTGTCTTATCCTAGGTCCCGTTAGCAAGACTGGAAAAATTGAGATGTGGAAGACCCAGTGGAGAATTCTGATCTTGCCACTCACTAGGTGACCTGGGTCATGCACCTCCATCTCTGTTTTCATGTCGGTTGCTTCATCTGCAGGAATGCGGATAACAGTGCTTATCACCCAGGGATGCTGAGACAATTTAAGTAGACCAAGGCCCAGTGCCTGACTCCCAGGAGACTCTTCATGAGGAACATTTCTCTTTTCTATCTCCCTTCACTAACTAAGGCTTGAAAGATCTGGCGTAAACTCTAGGTCCCTAGCTCTGCTACCTCCTTGGCTAACCCCCTTCCATCTCTCTCTCTGGATTCCTCCCTCGGAAAAACAGGGACTAACTTTTCAGTTTTTATCTGTCTATTGCTGCGCCTTCCTTCCTTCCTTCTATCTCGGCCATAACACATCACGCAGAAACAGAAGGTACATGTGCCAGATCCCACCCCAGAGGTTGATTTGATTCCTAGGGCCACCTCAGCCAATTAGCTCAAAGTGGGTGGCTGACAACAGAAGTGTATTCATTCACAGTTCTGGAGGCTGGAAGTTGCTAATCAAGGTGTCAACGAATATAAAAATTTATTTATCAACATGTGCCCTGGTCTCCCCATGTGCGTGTCTTCCCTTGAGCATGTCTCAGTGAAAATGTATACAAGGCTGCCTGTCATGGGATTAGGACCCGCTTGACTCCAGTGTGACCTCATCTTAATCTGATGACTCCTGCAAAGACCTTATTTGCAGAGAAGGTCACATGTGCAGACATTGTCAGGGCTTGAGCATATCTTTTGGGGACACACAATTCAAACAACAACAAGGGGGAATGCAGGCCTGACTGGGCCCTTGGGGAACTCACAGTTGGAGAGACCAGCTCAGAGAGCACACAAACGAAATCTGGGGTGCCCAGGGTAGCAAGAGGCCCTTGCCCAGATGCTTGAGAACTGATAATGGGTGCCAAACATCACCAGAGGGAGATATGGTCTCTAAGGTTACCAGTGTATTTTTCCTTTCATCATCATTGTTATCATTATTAAAGTGATGTTATTTTTACATCAAAACAGAATCATTGAACACCCCATTCAACACCCCATTGAAATATAAGTCACACACCCTAAAATTCACACTCCCACAGGTGCAGTTTGGTGGGTTCAGTATATTCACCAAGGTGTGCCACCATCACAACTACCTAATTCCAGAACATTTACATCGCCCCCAGAGGACATTCTATTTCCATTAGCAGTCAGCCCACACTGTGCTCTTCCCTGGTGGTCACTAAGCCACCTTCATCTATCTTTGTGGGATTCCCATTCTGGATATTTCATTTAAATGGAATCACACAATGAGTGGCTTTTTTGGATTGGCTTCTTTTATTTAGCAAGATGTTCTCAGGGTTCATCTATGTTCATTCTTTATTATCATTTAGTAATATTCCACCTAATGGACATATCATATTATATTTATCCATTCATCAGTCGGTGGGCATTTTCTTGTTTCAACTTTTGGAGCATTACAACTGATACTACTATAAATATTCACGTAGTAATTTTGTGTAGACAAATGATTTTAATTGTTTTGGTTATGTCCCTAGGGTGGAATTGCTAAGTCACATGGTAACTTTGTGTCTAATCTTTTGAGGAACTACCTATTTTCCATACTATCTGTGCCATTTTACAATTCTACAAACAAAGAGTAAGGATTCCACAGCATGGCCCATGTATCTAAAATTGTACTTTGATTTGGTATCATTGTCTTATGTGTTTATATGGTTTTTGGCTTGTTAGTTTGCCTGTTAATCTGTGTTTATGATAATTAACTTGATAAAGACTTATAAAATACATAAATAAATCTGAAAAAAAACCCAAAGAGTAAAGATTCCAGTTTCCCCACCAGCTTACCAACACCTATTTTTGTCCTGTTGATTACAGTTGTCCCAGTGGGTTTAGCAGCAGGATCTCATCAGGGTCTGGACTTGCATGTCCCTAGTGCCTAATGTTGAACATCTCCAGAGCTCCCGGGATATTTTTATATCCCCTCTGGGGAAATGTCTATCCAAATCCTTTGCCCGTTTTTAAATTGGAGGCAGAGATTATAGAAAGACCACATTCACAAGAGTTTTCCCCAAATGTCCCCCACTTTCCGAGGCCACCCTGCCACCCTCCATGTCACCATGAAGACAGGAATCAGATGGTGCAGTCACAGCCAGAAGGTGTTCCCAGTTCAAATGTCATCGTGCTCTGGGGGAGACAGACATGAAGAGCACCCTGTCGTTTCCTCAAGTGGAAATGGGGTGTCATCTGTTCACTCCAACTTGAAGCAGACAGGGACCCCTGCTTTGGTGATCAGCCTCCTGGTGTCTACAAGGACAGCATGGAGAGGAGAGAAGGCTCTTTTCTGTCCCCTTTAGGGAATGATCACCACCTGGTGGTGAGGTCTGCTACAAAATCACCTCGACCAGCCACTGACCATCATGAAATGCCATCCAACCCTGTCGGAGAAGAAACTTTTAACCCAATTCTAGTGGCAAGATTGTCACAATCACTAGAATTATGCACTGGCAGGATGACTGCAGCCCATAAATCTCCAGCCCCCACACTACCACAGGCTGGTTTTTCTCCCAAGAACTGGAGTTCAGTGCTAACTGTAACCAACATTCTGTTCAATGTAAGACAGCATCAACTATTTTCAGAGTTTTTGTTTCAGTTTTCAGGAAAAAGTCCTAACAACCAATTCTCTTTTTTTTTTTTTAACTTTTCACTATTCTTCATGAAATGTTGGATGCCCTTGGACTTCGAGGGTGGCCCTGGTGGCCTCTCTTCAGCATCACAAACCCTTCCTGTGACCTTCCTCCCTGCCCACTGTGCAGCGTGGATAAGTGGGTGCCTTGGGGCATAGCCAGCTCAAGCTGCGGCAGCTACTTCTGAAGTCTCTATTCCAGAGAAATAGGGCATGGCTTGTTCCTGCAAAGGCTGCCTTTTGCTCTTGGTAAATGCTCCATTTCTAAATTCTTCCAGGACCTTAGCTGAGATTTATACCTGAGCTGCTCCTTACAAGTGCCCAGGATAAATGCTATTGGTGGGTCTTGATGCAATTGGAAGAGTAAGAAATCAAAGACTTGATAGGCAAAGCCATCTGGGTGCCTCTCTCACCAAAAAACCACATTTTCATAGGGAGACTGGAGGAAAAATAGTAGAACAGTAACTTTAAAATAGAAACGAGAGGAGAAATTACAGTGGACCCAAATCTATTGGAAAAACACTCCCTTGAAATTAGAACTTCTGAGGTGTTCAAACCAAACCATGTTTGTGTAAATGTAAGGCGGGGATAATCAGTAATGCTGCTAAATGTCATCTAAGAGCTTTCGTGGATGTCCCAGAAAAATCAAGCAAGTTATTTTGAGAGAACTTGGAACAAATGTTTCAGTAGATATTTTCTGAGTGTTTATTCTTCTCTACAAGATGGAAATATTTGATTCTGTCACACAAAGTTCTGTGATCTAAAATGTAGTCAGTATTTCCTCCTCCCCGGACAAAGATCTTGCTGTGGGTCATAATTACTGGGTCAAGAAGACACACCTTCTTAAGGGAGTGAAAGACAGAAAGGAATTCATTCCTTCCTTCTCCTCTTCCTCCTCCTCCTCCTTCTCCTCCTCCTCCTCCTCCTTTTCTTCTTTCTCCCTCTTTTCCCGGGTCCCTCTGATCCCAGCTTCCCCTGGGCCCTCTCTTCTCTTCTTCCCAACAAAGTGGTTGGAGCTTAAACCTGCCTGTGTTGGGGAGCTGCTATGGTTTAGATTTAAAATGTCCCCCAAAATCTCATGGGTTTGGAAGCTGATCAGATCCTGCAGGTGCTGTACTCAACTCATCAGTGAATGAATTCAGTGCTGACAGTGCTGGTAGGAGGTGGGGCCTGGCTGGAGGTGGTCAGGGGCGTGGGCTGGAAGGGCACTTTCCGTCCATGGCTACTCCCTTCTCTCTGCCTCCCAGCTGCATGTGATCAGCAGCTCTCCTCTGCCAGGCCCTTCCACCATGCCATTCTTCTGGCTGTGGACTAAAACCATGAGCTCAACTTTAGATTGTGGATGATGGGACCCCTGCCAGCAGAGAGGAGGTGAGCTGCTCCCAGCACAAGAGGAGGCTTCTGGGCCACCGTACTACCCCTACCAGTACAGAGGAGGTGAGCCGCAAGGGCGCCAGCAGCACCACCACCCCCTCCCCCCGGTCTAAATGAGAAGACGCATAAACAAGTCTCAAAACCAGACTTCCAGATTACCCACAGCAACCCAAAGGGAAATGAGATGGAACACTCTGAGATTCAACCACCTGGACTCCCTGAACAGTCAACAAAAGAGGATGTGGAAAAAATAAAATCAGAAATCATTTCTCAGATAACAGCAGAGATTGTGCCCATAGTGCAAGACATGATTAATAAATCTAGAGAGTAGCTCAGGAACATGATGGAATCCCAACATAGGAAACAAATGGAATCCATAAAACAAATACAAATAGATTTCCAGGAGATTAAAAACTCCATTGAAAGTCTACACAGCAGAATGAGCCAAAGTAAGGACAGAATTTCAGACATAGAAGATAAGATTGCAATTAGTGACCAGGAAAAGAAAAATCACTATAAGGGACCACAAGAAATCAATCCAGCAGCTGCTGGATGATGCAAAAAAGAATAACATAAGACTGATTTGAGTCAATGAAGAAACAGGAGAGAGTGCAGATG